GTATGTGTTTTATATGTTAATAAAACATTTTTTAAAAAAGAAACATTTCTTCATCCCTTCCTTTCACCTAAGTTTAGGAACTCTGACCTTTCAAACATGGAATTTCATTGAATTTTCAGATGTTTTGAAATGTTGTTTCAGCTCTACGGGTACAATGTTATGGTCTGTGGGAGGGTGTTCCAGGGGGCACTGGGTTTTTGCCGACCTCCTTCTCTATGGGAGAAGAGGGACGTCTGCCCAACCAGTCACAGTGGTGCTGCTATTGCCCTTCTACCATCAGTGATCTGATGGTGGAGCGGGCAAAGGGGGAAATCCATAGGTAAAGCAGGAGTTTTCCTGTATGGAAAGCCCAACTATTCTCCTGTCAAGCCCCTGGGATGAGAGGGGTGGTATGCCAGCCCTAGAGCTGGCATACTTCTCCCTCCAAACAACCACACACATATTTCACTCCTGGATAGCATGGGCCTAGAAAAGCTCTGGATTTGGACATTCTAAAGCACAGATTCTTTCTCCACCCTCATTGGATTGCTCCGTCCATTTTCTCCCACATCACTGAAGAGCAGAAGAAGAAGAAGAAGAATTTGGATTTGATATCCTGCCTTTCACTCCCTTTAAGGAGTCTCAAAGCGGCTAACATTCTCCTTTCCCTTCCTCCCCCACAACAAACACTCTGTGAGGTGAGTGAGGCTGAGAGACTTCAGAGAAGTGTGACTGTCCCAAGGTCACCCAGCAGCTGCACGTGGAGGAGCGGATACGCGAACCCGGTTCCCCAGGTTATGAGACTACCACTCTTAACCACTACATCACACTCACTGGCTCTCACACTTCCTTTCATTCTGGCATTAGTTGGGTCTGTTGCCATCAGAGGCACCTTAAAGCTCATGATGCCTAGGTTTGGATTACATACCCTGAAAGTTTATACAATGCTTTTCTGGAAGTGTGTTGGCTTATTCTGGACCAAGCTAGGGAGAACCAGGTGGAGACAGTGCTCTTCATCCATCATCCTTCATTAGAGGAACCACATGGAATACAAGCTACATAAAAAGTATGGACGGGAGAATTGGTATATTTCCTGTGTTCACCCATCAACCCATTTAATCCTGTTTCCATGTTACTCTCTGGTGGTGGTGATACACACACACACAAAATCTTCATTTAAATGCATATTTTTAGCTGTATTTTTCACCAAAGTATGCATTTTAAAATGAATTCCACTACATTTCTTGAGAACTGCAATAGAATATTCAGGAAGTGTGAAAGCTGGTGGCAAATAACAAAGTTATGATCTACATTTTGGTCTGGGATGTGTGGATCAAGTCAGTTCCTTTCAGAATTCACAAACATCATTTCTTCAAGCATTATTAATTGCACCCTATGTGTTCCTTGCAACAAACAGAGCTTTTCTCTTACTGTTTCCCTCCATCATCATAACTGGTATCTTCTTACATAATTTGTCTAATAACCCTATATTAGTAAATTTAGTCCATCTCACAGAGCTATTCTGTGCATGCCTGTTCAGAAGCCAATGCCATCGACTTCAGTAGGATTTACTTCCAGGTAAGAATAGGAGTGCAGTTTAAGAAATCTAAAGCTCATTCCCTTGCAAATATACTGGTTTAGAGAGAATATAAACCATCACTGTCAAACTCCTTTTATTTATTTTTTCCTGGGTGGCTGGTCCTTGGTGGTTCAGTGACAATTCACTTTCCTTGATAAATGTCAACTGCTCAAACCACACTTGTTTCATTTCATTTTCTTTTATAGGTACTTCTATTCCCCGTGCCATAATCTGAATCAGTTTTGTTACCTGTGCTGTTATATTTCTTCCGCCAATTGTGGTTGTATCTCAAAAAAAGGGGGGGGAAATGCATGTTTGGTTTTTATTACCAGAACCAGAAGGGAAAGAATTAAACAAATCGATGACACTTTGATGAAGAACGAAGCAATAATATTCTGTGGCTGTCATAATTTCTCAGTTCCTGGGAAACATTTGCTTTCACACTTAAAGCAAATGCAAATAGGAAGAAACATAGGAAACTGCCTTATACCGAGTCACATAACTGATCCATCTAGCCCGGTATTGTGTATATGTTGGCAGTGTTTTGGGGGATTTCAAACAGTGGACATTTGCAACCCTACCTGGAGATTCCAGGGACTGAACCTGGGACCTTCAGCATGCAAAGCAGTTGCTCTAAACACCTTTTGTTCTCCTTGCCTAAGAGTTTTGAGAGTTGTAGAAGCAACAGCCATGTAAAGTGCTGTTGCAGCTGTTGACATCAGATAGGTCTGGTGTGCATAAGACCACAGGAATCTGAGTCAGATCATTGGTATGTCTAATTTAGTACCATCTACATAGATTAGCAATGGCTTTCCAGGATTTCAGATAGGGGACATTCTCAGCTCTCATGCTTTTTTTTGGGGGGGGGACCTAATTTGTATACTACTACTACTACTAATAATAATTTTTATTATTATTTATACCCCTCCTATCTGGCTGGGCTTCCCCAGCCACTCTGGGCTGCTTCCAACAAAATATTAAAATACAGTAATGCATCAAACATTAAAAGCTTCCCTAAACAGGGCTGCCTTCAGATGTCTTCTAAAAGTCTGGTAGTTGTTGTTCTCTTTGACATCTGGTGGGAGGGCATTCCACAGGGCGGGTGCCACTACCGAGAAGGCCCTCTGCCTGGTTCCCTGTAACATGGCTTCTCGCAGTGAGGGAACTGCCAGAAGGCCCTCGGCACTGGACCTCAGTGTCCGGGTAGAACGATATTAGTTATAATAGTTATAATAGTTATAAAAATAACTAGGAACATATTTGATGAGGGAGAAGTAAAATATCAGACCCTCCAAGTGTCCCTATTTTCCTGGGATAGTCTTGGATTTACAGAAGCTGTCCCAGTTTCTCATTTGATCCCAGAATGTCCTGCTTTTCCTTAAGACGTCCCTGTTTTCGTCAGAGAAATCTTGGAGGGTATGGAATTATGCGACCCCCCCGAACCAAGGAGATAAGTAACTACACAACCTTTAGCAGACATCTAATATTTTTAATGTTTGATGTTTGATTACCGTATTGGCCTAAATATAAGCCTCACTTTCCCCCCAAATTCCAACCGTGAAAAGTTAAAGTGTGGCTTATATTCACGACCTTATGGTATGCAGTCCAGAGTGGCTGGGGCAACACAGTCAGGTGGATGGGACATTCTTCTTCTTCTTCTTCTTCTTCTTCTTATTATTATTATTATTAAATAGGATGTCCCTATTTTCATCAGATAAATCTTAGAGGGTAAGAAATATCCTGAAACGATTAATGAAAGCTGTGGAAAATAAGCGGAGCAGTCAGGACAGAAAAACCTGAGCCAGTGTAAAATTGCTACAAGCAGTCAGAATGAAATCTAAAAGTTATGCTTTTCTAGGTGTTTCAGAGAAGAGAAGTCACAGCACAATAAGACATTCGAGAAAAACTGCTTGTGTGGAAAAGAGATGAAGCAAAGATGGAGTTTAGAGAAGAAAAACATGAAGCTATTCTCAGCTCCTCAACATCCCACAACACTTTTCATGCTCACTGATTGGGTCCTTTAATTGCTTCTTTGCTCCTAACTAAAATTTGGTTCTGCATTAGTAAATGACAGAAAGTTCACCACATTGATTTTTACCGTGCAGAAACAGTAAAAACAATAATAATAAAAAATTCCCTTTGTCTTTGGGGCAATTAACAGAAACCGTTTCCTTTTGTGTTAGGGCAATTAATGTGCTCCTAAGCATTTATTAGCGTACACTCTGGGCTTAGAGCCATAGAAGTATTCAGAGTCTTCTTCACACTATGGTCCATTGTGGCGCAATTTGGCCAAGGTATAGTCACCATGGCAACCACTACTAATGTGTCTTTCCCCTCATTTCAGGATCCATAGGTCCAGGCTGAGAAAAATCTCTCAGACAGGCTGTTTACAAGCCACAGTTGGAACCAAGCCATGCTATCTGGGGCTGATGGGAGCAGCATAATTTAGGAGGCCGTAGGTTTCCTCACTCCTGTTGTAAAAGAAGGAAATGGCACTGTGCAGGACTGAGAATCCTCTTTATCGGCCCAGCATTACAATGCACTTTACACTCATATCCTGCAGACATCAGAGAGAAATGCGTGTCCTCTATGCCTTCTTCAGAAAGGCCCTTGAAATTGCAATAAAGAAATTACTTTGAGGATTTTAAACAAAATGGTGACTGTGAAGCCCTCCAGCCAGCAAAGGTATTTCTCCTTAAATCTAGCTATCATGCACCCTCACATTTCACAGCATTTCAACTTATTCGATTCATGAATCTCCACACAAGTTACCAATGCTGCTGCCTTGAAGCTTTTCCGGATAGGTAGAAAATGCTGATAATAACTGATGGCCTGTTTGTGGCTTTCAACTATGCCTTCCTTTTCCAGAGCAATACGATGTCTTTATTTTTTTTATATTTTTTTAAGCGCAGGTTGGTTTTGTTAATACCTACCATTATCTGGCCAGGAGTTGGAGACATGTAAATTGCCAAGTTTCTCCAGGTTGAATTTCAATCTGGTAACTTTGATAATGCTGCCACCGTGAGTTTTGAAGACATAAATGGTAAACTGTCAGATGCTGTCAGTGAGGACAATGAAAATTGGCAGATCTACCCAAGTATGAAGCATGACAAATTGTAGCAAAGCAAAAAGGAACACAGGGGTGTGCTTGACTCAGAAGTGAGCTGACATTTGCTAGAAAACCTATTGGGAATTCTCCAGACAGGCAGCAAGACATGTGTTAAGTGTTGCTGCTGTTCGAAAGATCAGCAGGTATTCACAGCATAATTATTTGCCTTTAATAGAGACTTTGAGGAATTATAAATTGACTCTGTTTTCATTAGTATAAGGCAGCTTCCTATGTTCCTGAGTCAGACAATGGGTCCATCTATCTCCATATTGTCTACACTGACCAGCAGTGGAACTCCAGGATTTCAGGCAGTGAATCTCTCCCAGCCCTATCTGAAGATGTTGGGGATTGAACCTACGTAGGACCTTCTGCATGCAAAGTAGATGCTCTACCACTGAGCTACAGCCCTTCCCCGAAGTTAGAAATTTGTATTCTACTTCTAAATGTCTTGCACTTTCTTCAAGGAGTTAAGGTCAATGTACATACATGCTATGGGGCGCGGGTGGCGCTGTGGGTTAAACCACAGAGCCTAGGACTTGCCGATCAGAAGGTCTGTGGTTTGAATCCCCGTGACAGGGTGAGCTCCCATTGCTCGGTCCCTGCTCCTGCCAACCTAGCAGTTCAAAAGCACGTCAAAGTGCAAGTAGATAAACAGGTACCGCTCCGGCGGGAAGGTAAACAGTGTTTCCGTGCGCTGTTCTGGCCCAAGGTTCCAGTGAAATCTCATGAGAGATCACCAAAATCCCATGAAGCTGGTGCCACCTCTCCACCAGAGCTGGAGTTGGCAGCGCTGGAAGGGTTGCCCAATGTGGCTGCCTCAGCCCACCTCATGGGCAGGCTGGTCCTGCCTCCAGCCCTTATCTCAGGTGGCCTTTTTGCTACTGACAGTAGTCTCAGGATTGTTCCCAGTTGTTGCACCTCCCTTGCAATATTTTCTTTTAAAAATAATAATAATGAGACAGTCATATATATTATGCACTTTGAACCTTCCAGAAATGAACATTATTTTAATTTAATGCGCTGTTGTTGTTGTTGTTATTTTAAAAAAGAACCTTAATAAACATTTAAGTCAGCATTGACTAATGCCTGTTTCACATGGTAAAGGTAAAGGGACCCCTGACCATTAGGTCCAGTCGTGACTGACTCTGGGGTTGAGGTGCTCATCTCGCTTTATTGGCCGAGGGAGCTGGCGTACAGCTTCCGGGTCATGTGGCCAGCATGACTAAGCCGCTTCTGGTGAACCAGAGCAGTGCACAAAAATGCCGTTTACCTTCCCGCTGGAGCAGTACCTATTTATCTACTTGCACTTTGATGTCCTTTCGAACTGCTAGGTTGGTAGGAGCAGGGACCGAGCAACGGGAGCTCACCCCATCGCGGGGATTCGAACTGCCAACCTTCCGATCGGCAAGCCCAAGGCTCAGTGGTTTAGACCACAGTGCCACCCGCGTCCCTTTATTTCACATGACTGGGATAATAATAGAAAGACTAATGATGAAGAAACACAGAATGTTAAGTAATTCTGTGGGAGAAATCCTCTGCCCAAAAACTGGTGTAAAGCAAGCCAGTTAAAGTTAAGTGATGTAAGCAACACCATATCTGATTCACGTTGAACAGCAGAACTCTGCCCAAACCCAGAAGTGGGAAAATAAGCCTTTATTCTACAAGTTGTATGTCAGATGGCCAGGTCATGGGACTGAACTATGATTTTTTAGGTGAGTCCCTCCCTCCCTGTCACCAGCCCCACCCTTATACTTTCAACTGATATTGTTTGATAGATATAGTGAACTTTGACTTTTTCTTTTTGAAAAAATAGAACCCTGCTTGGTACCTCCTGGCGAAGAACACATAGCAAATATATTTAATACATGATTAATAGATGTAATAAATTCTGCTGCAATGCAATGCAAAAAACGAAGAAGCAAATCTAATGATGTGAACTATGCAAAGCGAATTATTGGTGTGTTGTGTTAATAGGGAGGCGGTACAATGAACTGAAGGATGCAAATTGTCTTAGCAAGAGCTAGATGTGGATTGTGGGTATTATTCCCATCCCATTGTTTCAGAGTGCCTCTGGTAGTGGGAAGAGGCATTGTTATTTTGATTAATCTCCCTCAGATACTAAAACGTCTGCCAAAGTTGTTGTTGCTGTTTTGCTCGGGTGACATATGGCGTGAAGCTTTTAACAATATGTGTACGCCCCATTCATGCTCGCGGCTTTGCTGTCCTCCATTATTCTTGCCCAGAGGAAGGAGCCTAACTGTATCATCCTGGACATTTTTTCTTGTGATTGCCTGAAATGTCCGCTGTTATGTGGCTGTAAATGCTTCTCAATGCATTAATTTGAGGCTCCTTTCTTGAGCACAGCCCTGCTCTTGCTCTCTTGAGACACACTTCAACTTGACCTCATGACTGTCTGCAGCCAATTAAGGCATAAACAGAGCAGATATATATTTCCCTGCACTTTTACTTGCTCCTTTGCAGCCCGGATTTTCAACCTGTTCATTGTTCAAGTAAAAACACCCATTGTACTTTCCACACGAAACTTGCTGGTTGTGCAAGCAAACTCTTATCTTTGTACTTTCTCTCTACAGGAACAGAATAACCCATCTTATTCTGTCAGTCTTGGACGTGTTCATTCATAACTCTCCTGTATCCCCTTTTCTGCATGAACCTGTAATTTAAACAAAACCCGCGTGAAAGCAATCACACTAAAATATAATCATCATTATATTTATTTATACCTCAACTTTTTTTCCTGACAGGGGCTCAAGGCGGCTTACTTCAGAACAGCTAAAAACATGGGTAGAATAGTATTTCAAATTAAAACTATATATGTATACATTCTTAAAATCTATTTAAAACATACAGATAATTAAAATAAAAAGAGCACAGCCACAGACCGTTCATTAAAAGCAGCCAGTTCCCAAAAGCCTGTTGGAACAAGAAAGTCTTCACCTGCCGGTGGAAGAACAACAAGGAAGGAGACTGTCTAGCATCTCTAGGAGGGAGTTCCAGAACCTGGGAGCAGCCACTGAAAAGGCCCTTTCCTGCATCCCCATCACGTGTGCCTGTGAAGGTGGCAAAACCAAGGGAAAACCTCCCTTGGAAATCTCAAAACCCGGGCAAGCTCATATGGGGAAATGCAGTCTTTCAAATAGCTGGGACCTAAGCTGTATGTTATAACCACTTCAGCTGTACCTTGGTTCACAAACGCCTTGCAAGTCGAACCTTTTGACTCCCAAACACCACAAACCCAGAAGTGAGTGTTCCAGTTTGCAAACGTTCTTTGGAATCTGAATGTCCAATGAGGCTTTCATGGCTTCTGATTGGTTGCAGGAGCTTCCTGAAGCCAATCGGAAGCCACGCCTTGGTTTCTGAATGTTTTGGAAGTCAAACGGACTTCCAGAACAGATTCCGTTCGACTTCCGAGGTACCACTGTATTTTGAATTGTGCCTGGAAACAGACTGGCAGCCCATGGAGATGGTGTAGCAAGGGAGTCATCTGCTCCCTATAACAAACCTTAGTCAGCAATATAGTGGCTGCGTTTTTAACCAGTTGAAGTTTCTGAGCACTTTTCAGAGGCAGCCGCATGTAGAGCTCATTACGGGATGCGACTGCGGCCAAATCAGACATCTCAAGGAATGGTTGTTGCTGTTGCATTAGCTTCAGCTGTGTGAATGCAGTGGTGTCACGATGGGGGAGCGGGGGGCGGTGCGCCCCGGGTGCCATGTCTGGGGGGGGGGTGACAAGAAGGCACCCTGCGGGGGCTCACGGCAGTGCGAGCAGCCATCGCACCACCGCAGCCACATGTGGAGGATTCTCCGTTTGCGGCTGCAGCCGTGAGCAAAGGATCCCAGTGCCAGTGGCAAAGCACTATTTACAGCACATGTGCAGCACCGCATGCATGCTCTTTACATAACAACACCACACATGCGCTGTACATAGCGGTTTGCCAGCGGTGCCACTCCAGCGCCTTACGGATGACGGTGGGGTCCCTCCGTCGCCGCTACAGCCGCGAGCAAAGGATCCCGGCACCGTCCATACGGTGCTGGAGCGGTGGTGGCGGCAAACCACTATGTACAGCACATGCGCTGTATGTAGGAACGGCATACATAGTGGTTTGCCACCCAGGGTGTCACGACCCCTTCATTCACCCCTCTGTGAATGCACTCCTGGCCAATGCAGAGGATCAGGCATTCATGCTCAGAACTGAGTCCAAAAACACACCCAGCCAGAGAATGCATACAATGTGTATATTGAGGGAAGGTATGCGTAAAAATGCATGTATTGATGAAAATAACAAACAACAATGCATTAGATCCACTGAGTAAAATGCTTGGAGGAAAATGTGTACATTAGGCAAAGCTACATACCCAAATCTGTATTGGGAAAAATGCACATTAAAAGGCTGAGGAATTTTCATGAGGTCACTGGAAAAAAAGATACAAGCTGGTGCAGAAATGTGAAGAGCAGTATTTAAGATTTTCAGAAACTGCTCTATGTGAACACTGTAAAACTAACCAGGAGATTCATTTTCAAGATCACTTATTTTCAAGCCTACTTGGTTGCATTTCATTCCTGGAGTTTTCACAGGAAAGCAGTTTCACTGACAAAGTTCTCCACAGGTGAAACTGCTGTGAAACAAGTGACATTCACATGTAATAATCTCTTGGTGTTCTGCTGCCTGAGGTGGCTGCCTCAAGTTGCCTCCTGGGCAGGCCAGCCCTGAGCTAATAGGTCACAGTCCCTGGGTCATGGTTCAACCTCTTAGGGAGCAATCCTATGCACAAGAAGCTGTCGTAAAGAAAGCTGATGTAAATGAAGACAGCATGAAGTTACACGGGATCCAAACCTGAAGCTGGGATAGCTCAGTCAGTAGAGCATGAGACTCTTAATCTCAGGGCCATGGGTTTGAGCCCCACATTGGGCAGAAGATTCCGGCATTACAGGGGGTTGGACTACATGACCTTTGTGGTCCCTTTGAACTCTATGATTCTGTGATTCAAACCCTGTTCCAGTAGCAGGGCTGTCGCTGCTGTCCTACCTAACCCTGGCCAGTGGAGTAGGGAGGGGGGCACAGGGGCAGTTGCCCCGGGCACAAAATCTGTTAGGGGTGCAAAATTTCAACACCCAGTGCTGCCTCAATACAGCTGTGCACTTCTGTCTCTGGGCTCCACTGAAAACGGCTTCTCCATGCAAACTAGGAAGTGACTTCTCCAGCCAGCAGAATGACTCTTCTTTTCTTATATATGCAGCTGTGATTTCCTGGGTGATGCAAAAGCAAAGCCTTACACAGTTGAATGAGCACGCATACTCCATCCGTTCCTCTCCCTCACCCCACCCCTCTGCACGGCCCCAGGGGGTGGCAACCCATGCTATGCCACTGACCTTGGCAGTCAAGTCTTTAAAACAGTGTTCTATACTGGATTGCAAGGCCATGTGACCTTAGCATCTAGCCTAGGTCTCGGACTTTGGTCCTGCCCCCAGCACACACCCAGAATGCCTCTGGGTTTACACCAGGGTTGTCTCAGCTAGCTTCATCTCAGATAGCTAAGCCCTGGTCGGCTGGAATGAGTAAGTTACACTGGTATATCTTCAGCTGAGTCAGGCTTGGGGACTTCATGTTGGATGAGCCAGAAATAAGTCTGATGAGCCAGAGACCCACTGCATTCTGATATGTTCATCATGGCGGATCTTGTCATAGGGTTGAAATCCTATATAAACATACATGGGAATGAGTCCCATTGAATTGGCTTGCTACTGAGCAGACATGTATAGGGTCGCACTGCCAGGCACTTGCCACATTAGTTCCAATTAAGAAAGTGATTCGCTTGCATTAGGTTCACAAATGCAATTGAATGGAATTTGAATGCGTTCTTACTTTGGTATTTGCAACTGACATAAGTAAAAACCTCTTCATTATCTGTCTGTCCTGTCCTCCCGCCCCATTTGTGCATCTCAGGCACATCTTCCCTCAACATCCCAAGATATCTGCAGAGATGGAAGCTAAAACAATTTAAAAATTATAGCCCTTCCACATTTTATATTGCACTTCAATCAGATTTAAACCTTGTCCTTTATTTTTATTTTGCTGCTGCTGTTGTTGCAGGAAAATAAAAGGAGATAACATGCAAGACAATTCTCTATATTATCATGAATGTACCTGCAAGTTGATTTTTATAGCTCTGCATTCAATAGATGTTATTTTCCTCTCTGGGAAGAGCGAGCACTAACTTCTGTGGTGCCAGAAAGTGCTGCTTAAATTGTTTTAAGGTCAGTGAATGGAAACTTTCCATCTGCAAATTTTGCCCCAAATCTCCCGACAGTAATATTGCAACATCACAATGATATTCATTATTCAAGGTAGACACGGCAGGATGAACAAAAAGCAAGACGCGAAGGTATCTTTTGTATGATTCAAAAGCCAAATGTAGCTTTATTTCAGCTGCTGGAGCAGCGGGGGTTAGGGTGGGGATAAGCAGCTCTGCTGGAATCAGCATGTGAATACATTATGATGCACAAAGGCTATATCAGAGCAGGTGACAAATATTCTAAAGACGCCATTGATCCCCATGATTCCTATGAATGCAGACTAGCCAGAGAGACTTGAGGACAGGAGCAACATCTTCAAAAACATGAAAACAATGACCGCTCCCCACATCAAATTGGGGGCACCTTTTGTGTGGTTGCGCGCAGCCCCCCAGATCCTAGTGCGGCTCCCAGTAGTACAGGCTGGCTTCGCCCTCCCCAGGCTGGATACCTGGAGATCTCCGCCTACCGCAGCCAATTGCCCAATCCTGGCTGGGGAGGTGTTGCCAGGGGATTGGCCAGGTAGGGGGAGGGACCGCCCTGACCACACAACAGAAGGTGAATCTTACCTATGAAGCTGTCAATTGGCTCCAGAGCTTCTCCCACCCTGCCCTCCCTCAGTTAAGCCTTCTTTTGCAGGTTAACCTCTTCTCCACAGGTACGCAGGCACTGCTACATCAAGGTCGCTGTTGAAGGGCCTGAAAAGAATTTTCCTGTATTGGCAGGTTTTGCCTTCCCCGTAGCAAAATGTCACAACTTTGGCGGTTTCAGGCCTTGGGCAGAATCCTTTATCTTCCTAAATGGGGGGGGGCATGAAGCGGTGACCCATGCCCCCTTGCGGCGGTGATCCCAGGGTTCCCCTTTAAAGGGGTCTTGAGGGGAGGCATTGGCCATACGCCGAGAGGTTGTCATTGCTCTCCCCTGCGACGGCGGCAAAACAGGGGGCGGGCTCTCTGCTTGAACATATGTTCTCCAGAGCCAGCCCAATCCCTGCACATTCTGGATAACCCTGAAGTCTCCCAGATCCCCGGCTGGGGACTGGGAAGGATAAACACCCAATGCCTGAGCCAAGGTCTCCCAACATCTGAAACTTAATAAAGTTGTGGCCAATTTTAATCCCATAGCACGTTGTCTTGAGTCATTATTCCACTCGGGGGTTGCCTGGGGTTGGAAGGACTCTGCCTGTCACGCAAAAGAGTCTGATGGATCACTGTGGCCAACCAGATACTCAGTTGAAGGCTGCAAGCAAGACCTGAGGATCACAGCAGCCTCCCCACCTGCAGTTTCAAGCAACTGGTATTTAGGTGCATACTGCCTCCGACAGTGGAGGTACAACACCACCACCTTGGTTGGCAGCCACTGATAGCCTCATCCTCCATGAATTTGTCTAATTGTCTTTTAAAACCATCCAAGTTAGTGGAGATCATTGCCTCCTATGAGAGTGGATTCCATAGTTTTTCATCCTCTACATCAGTGGTTCTCAAAGGGTGTGTGGAACCCACACCGGGGTGACAGGAAGATGGCAAGTGTGGTAGGAAGATTCAAGGATGAAGGAACGTCTCCACACCCATCGTTCTGCCCGGACACTGAGGTCCAGCTCCGAGAGCCTTCTGGTGGTTCCCTCACTGCAAGAAGCAAAGTTACAGGGAACCAGGCAGAGGGCCTTCTTGGTAGGGGCACCCGCACTGTCAGATGACCCTCCCATCAGATGTCAAGGAAATAAACAACCACCTGACTTTTAGAAGACATCTGAAGGCAGCCCTGTTTAGGGAAGTTTTTAATGTTTGATGTTTTATTGTATTTTTAATCTTTTGTTGGAAGCTGCCCAGAGTGGCTGGGGAAACTCAGCCAGAGGGGTGGGGTATAAATAATAAATTTTATCATCATCGCCATCAAAGAAACATTTAAGCATTTCAGTGTAATATAGTATAGTATAGTACCAAAACATTATTTGGGATTTACAGCCAGAAACAGTATCCACTTCAAGAGCATTGACTATTCTACAGTTCTCCATGACATTTTGTAGTGAACAGAGATTTCCAGCTCTGAGTAATATGAGAGATCAGAAAAGAGAAAGGCTTCTTTGCGTTGATGAGAAGATGAGAGTCTGTTTGCCTCAAATTAAACATAACATAAATGAGATTACCTGGCAAAAGCAAGCACACACCTCTCATTGAGTTTGTATACGCACTTAAGGTGCATATGTAAGAGGCTTGCTTAGAGTTATATTTTGGGAATGATAAGTGTTCTTATATGTCTGCATTGTTTTATAATTTCTGGATGTTCTCTGATAATATTATAAAGTGGTTCTATGTTACAAAGCAAGCACTGCTAGAAGTTGTTTCCTTTTGTTATCCAACGTATTTCTTATCAATAAAAAATGAGCAATTTTTTATTCTGAAAGTGTGGCCCTGAGAAAAAAGCTTGGGAACCACTGCCCTATATACTCAACCAGTCACTCTGTTCCGCAAGAGAGGGCAGTCTGCAGATAACTGTCCTATCAGGAGGTCCATTATGAATGATCAGGAAGATTTATGAGATTTTCTCCCGAGCCTGAATCTTTCTTGCTAGGAGAAAGCTCCAATGTTCCAATGTGAGAGGAGTGGTCCAGCTGAATCATTATTTATATGGCCCTTAATTAGTCTATATTCTGTTTTCCTATGGCCTTTCCTTCTCACCGAGGCTCAAATGTTGTTGGCACACACATACATGCTAAGCTCTTATGTCGTATATCGACCAAGGAAAATGAGACTCCTTTGCTAAGGGCAAGTGGTTCAGAATACCCTGACAACCAGTCATGTCAGCATGTTCATAGTCATCATTAACTTCACAATGTTATAATAATGAAAGTTCTTTCTCCTGTTTTACACATTCAGAGATTCATAATACAATCATTAACTCGGTAGTCGGGAAGTCAAAACAGCTATTCCCTAATGTAGGAACGAAGATGTCAAGGAAGCATGGAGTGCCATAGTATTTACTTACATTTTTCAAAGTCACCACTTAGTCCATCAGCACTGTTAATTTAAGTTTAATTATGCTCAATTAAAACTTTCACAGCTGGCAGATCTTTGATAATGATAGTTCAAGTGTTACAGGCAGGAATATCACTAAGTTGCAATCTACACATGTAGAGAAATTCATGCAACTAAATTCTGAGTAATAACAGAGTTATACACACAGGGAAATCAGGTGGTACAAATTTCCATGATGTTTTCCCTGACTCGCAGTCAGACTGCATCATTGGTTTTGTTGTCTTAAGTTTGAGTGACATTGGATCAGGATCAGAACTCATTTGGTTGAGGTTAGAGATCTCTTAAGATGGTGACAACATAGGACTGTGCAAGATTACAGAAGAAGGGTAAACGACATGAGAATATCATATGCCATGTTGTACTCACTATCAGAGTATTGGCCATTTTTTTTTGCTTGTATAATTGATGCTTTTGAATTATGGTGCTGGAGGAGACTCTTGAGAGTCCCATGGACTGCAAGAAGATCAAACCTATCCATTCTTAAGCAAATCAGCCCTGAGTGCTCACTGGAAGGACAGATCCTGAAGCTGAGACTCCAATACTTTGGCCACCTCATGAGAAGCGAAGACTCTCTGGAAAAGACCCT